ACAGTGTTTCGCGGACAAAGTCACGGACACAGCTAGTCAATAATAAAGGACATTAATAGGTGTAAACCCAAGGACGAAACTACCCACTTAGCGTCAACGACTGTTTGGCAAACACCTGTCCAGTTTTATCCATGACTAACAACATCTAGTACCGTGTGAAACGCGCTGACGATTGGCTCGGGAGCGTCCAAAATTTCTTTTAATTTTCCACATGTAGGCGGCGGGATTTGAGACTTTTTATTTTGCGATTTATTCCGTTTAATAATAGACGTTTTGAGGTCGAGGTTGATTGTTGCAATTCAAAATTTACTAAAATCTATCTAAGGATTCTGTGTAGTTTACGTAAATTGGAATACAACATTTTTGACGATTTAAAACGCAAAGTATATTAGCTTATTTTTTTTACAATCTTCGTTGTCATCATGGCTGCTGCAAAACATTCAAAACGTAGATCCGTAATTAGAAACTGACTCGTATCTATCCCGTTATAAACCGTTAAATTTCATACTCATTTCATTAACTAAGTAAAATGCGTTTCTGTTCTCCACATCTTACGTCAAAGTCAGGTTATCTTCGCGATCATTTGACTAGTTCAAAATATTAAGCTTCTGTAAAATTTTTAATCGCCATTTTGAGGTTATTTATATTGGTTTCTTTCGATGGAAGAAAAGTAAATATTATTATTTTAGTTTAAAGTCAATAACGTGAGGCCCGAACTTAAATGTGCATACATTTCGCGGGGCGCTGACAGGTAAGTTGAAGTTTTAAGATTTGACAGTGACAGTTGACTCAAAAATCTGAATAAACTCTCACGGAAGTTTAATAATATTTTTAATAATTGTTTATATAAATTAAAATTGTATTTATGTTTAAATCAACAATGTTTAATGATCAATTTGTTAACAATCATAGCAAAACTTTAATTGAAAATTAATTTCAATTTGGCAATTGTAAACAGAGCCCTCTAGCGAAATTATATGAAATATTTATTAGTTCAACTGTTATTTAGCTATCAATGTTTTTAGAAATATAACTAAATAAAATTAATAGGTAAATCAATTAAATGCTACGGAACCCTTCGCGGTCGAGTTAGGCTCGTTCTTGGCCGTTTTTTTTTATTATTTGCGAATGGAATTTATTATTACGAGAGTTATTCACGTTGTTATAGTCGACGGGCAAAATTGGCAAGAAGCCAGGGACTGTGACACTAGTATTACACCATAAGCGAGTAATTTTTCTGGTCTTTTAACATACGCTTCACGTATGTTTGGATGGATTTATGTATTGTTTGTTTCCGATACTACATTTTTAACGGTATGAAACGCGACATTTGACGAAACAACGCGCGACTACGTCCGCTGCACAGCACCCGAATTTATAAATAAGTAATACTAATATAAATCGCGTTTTGAACCGTTAAGTTTTAATTGATAGCGGGTGGTAATTTCCAATATCTGTTGGCAGTTTCATCCCTCATCGAATTAAATAAAATATAAAATATAAATTAATTAAATTAAATTAAAAAAAATTTAACGGTATTAATCGTAACATTTAGCGAAATAAGATTGCGTGACCACGGCCGCTGCACAGAGCCCGAAATTACAATTAAGTACCAACACTAATATAAATCGTGTTTTGAACTGTTTTAATTCGATGGCGCGTGGGAGTTTCCAATATCTGGTGGCAATTTTGTCTCTCGCATCTATTTATAACACATGCCAAAGTACAAACGTTTTGTAATATTATTGAAACATTGTCCTGGTTGTGACGTCATTGCATTAGGAGGAAATACACACAGATAACAAACTCTGGGACGTGTAGCAAGGAGTAGACAATCACATCGGGAGTAGACAGACAGAGTCTGGACTTCAACGGGCTCCTTGAAATAATGGTAGCAATATACGCCCAATAATCAACGGGTCTTGGGCGCGCTCCCCAACGGGTAAAACATTTTTCTAATCAATTTATTTTTTTGAAGCATCTTGGATTTCGTCTGGATTCCCGGATATTAACACCCAGCCACAGAAAGTCAGCCGTGAAGTTTAATCACTTTTTTGATAGAGAATAGACAAGATCTCCTTGGATCTAGTTTGGCTTTGGATATTCGGAAATCCACAGACTGAAACGCGATTCGAACTTCTCGGATTTTTTTTCTGTGGACGGTGGTTCGATATTCCTAACACCCATTTAATTTTCACATTTTCAGACGAAGTCTGTCGAATGTTTCAGAAGAATATCAATTTATTGAACATTTAATTAGAACACTTTTAACGGTTTGAAGCGCGAAATGGTCATACTAATACATTTCGCGTAAAAATCGTTAAATGTTTTTTTTTTAATGTACTGATGACTCGCGTAAGATGCAGTCTACGTGATTAGACACGTGTTGGACCGGGTGGGGATCGAACTCCCGACCCATAGATTGGTTGCCACTATTGGATCATTTGATGTACTATTGTTTAATTGCGACGAAGATGTGCAATATTAAATGATAACGCGTCGTTATTCTCGACAGCGTTTGCCCACACAGTTATATATTTCACAAATGCTCTATTTTTGCTGCAAGAATTTCAGCCACTATACTGTTCCACACAGCTACAGTCGTTTGTATGCGGGGAGTTTTTTTAAGCTCCCGCGGCAAGTGAATCTTTCGTAGTTAATCTCTACTTCTATACTAATATTATAAATGCGAAAGTAACTCTGTCTATCTGTCTGTCTGCCCGGCTTTAACTCCGAAACTACAGTGCTGATTTAAATGAAATAAGAATATTTTAGAGCCTGAGAAAGGACATAGGCTTCTTTAATGCCAAATACGGGTTGATAGGGGTTGAAAAAGGGGATGAAAGTTTGTATGGAAATTCGTAGTTTTTGAAGCTACACTAATGAAACTTTCTTCTTTGGCTTTTTGGGAATAGGAATGGGAGTGGAGGTGCGAGTGGGAGTGGGAGTGAGAGTGAGTGTAGGAATGAGAGTGGGAGTTAGAGTAGGAGTGATGTGAGGTGAGAGTTTTGCGACAAAGTATTATAGCACTTACAACATAGATTGGCTGCCTTAAATGCGCCCTTTTATAAATTAATAAACAGCCTAAATAATTAAAAATTCTACCCCAGGTCACTATTCCACGCGGACGATGTCGCGGGCACAGCTAGTAATTATTAAATTAAGGATGTATTATAGAAATTCTTGTTTATTTTAAGTCCAGTCCGTGTCGTATATTTTTTTATCTATTTAAAATCGATTTTTTTATTTATAGTGCTATCGCGTGCAATAAAAAGTCAAACTCGTTTCTCCTTCGTGGGGCATGGGGCGAACACATGTCTGTGTTCGTTTCACTGATACGTTCTTTACCAGGCAAGTAGATGATCAGACCTCTGTGCCCTGCCTGAACGAAACAATTTTTTGTTACCCTGGGATTCGAATCCAGGACCTCACGCGCTTAACGCGTTGCTAGGCAATACGTTTAACCATTTGGATACAGGGGCGGTCAATGTCATGATTGATCATGTGCAATAACATGTGGAAAATGAAGTTTTCTTGTTTCCTTGTTAAACTTTTTAACAAGGAAACAAGAATAATTAGAATTATTTTGCACATAGATTTATGTAATGTGAGTGTGAAAATTGTTATACACATTTGATTTATTCAACATTTATGAGGAATATAACAAGATAAATAATAGTTCTTAAAAATGTCTTCAGATATAAAAATAATACGTGGATACATCTTTATATTAAAACGAAAAATATTAAAGATTCTTGAGGTTTGGAAACTTTTATATTTTCACATGTTGCACATGATGGCATTATATAAATTAAAAATCAAAGCCGGTTAGAGCCGGAACGCCGTTGATGCCGGTTCAATGCCTGCCTGTGTCGTCAAATAATTTTAGACTAAAATTGATTTTTAAGTGTCTTGTTGTTTAAATTAATATCGTACCCCACCACGGATACTGCGATGCACAACACAGATCGTAGTTAAAATTATGTTTACTTCAATATTTCGCGTTTCGCACTGTTAAAAGTGTTTTATATATACATTCTTTGCTTTAGGTTTTAACGTGGTTTAACCCTCTTATTAGATTACTTAGTAGAGTTGTACATTTGATGACTCAGATACACCCCGCTTTCCCGTGGGGCATGGGGCTTGTGGCAGACGAATAACTGATCCGTTTCACAGATATAGTATAATAATTATATGAATAATCATTCTGTACATAGAACGAATTTATGAGCACCCATGATACGAACCCAAGAGCTCTCTTTAGACAATTTGTTAAATTATGGAGCGGCTAAGTAATCACGGTTTATTATGGTCGGGTCATGTTTCAAAGTATCCAGTATCAAGATATTTGATCGGGTCAAGACAAAAATGCTTTTCCATATAAGAATATAGTTCACATCAAATTAATCTTGGCCGGTCTTTTGTCTCCTATTAAAGAAGTCAAGAACCAGACCTACCAAGCAAGTCCAGTACGGATTAACGTTTTTTTTTACTACCGATGTTAAATTACGGTGTGTTTAAGTAAAATTAAGTAAGCAAATTTAAAAGTGAAATTAACTTCGTTCTTTTATTGGATGTAGTGCTAGACCAAAAAGAAAGGAGTTTGTGATATGGGTATAGAGACACGTATGGGAGTCACCTGATGGTAGGTATATTAACCCAGCCATATAACCTGTCGACCTATTTCAGCTTTGGAATTTGGAAATCCACAGACTGAAGTTCACGGCCTTTCCAAAAAAAAATCGTGTTTCAAAAAAAAATCACGCTGGACCCGATGAGAATCGAAGTCACGACCCGGTTATTAGAACATTACTAACCAACGAGTCCGTCCAAACTTTTGAAAAGATTTTAACAAAATAGGGAAAATAGAAAATGTATTTTATATTACTTGTCATAGTTTGTATTGATCATTATTAGGACGAAAACATTGCAGCAATTTCTTACCGAAGCTTTAAAATGTCTTTTAATAATGCAACAAGAAACTGCATTTAAAAACTCACCATGTTTTCGTAGAAACAAATGTTCAGATAAACACAAAACTAGACACGGTTGACGTCGACGATGCTTCAATACAAACTGAGCTCAGATCGCGCGCGGTTTTAGTGTTGTTTGTTTGTTATCGATTAACAGGTTGCGATTTATCGATACCGATATAAGAGTCGTTTAATCGTCGCGCGCTATCGATAGCATTTAGCGAAAGTGTTTATTGCAATTTCTTGGAAAATTGACGTTTTTTTATAACTGAATTGTGTTGGTACCGTGCAAAAATAAGTTTAGTATTTAAGAGCATTTAATGTATTTAAACTTTATAGTAAAGTAATTTTATGTAAGAAGAAAATATACATAATAGTAATGCGCCCCCCACCTTACCTAATATACACGTAAACGATATACGTTGTAATCAAAACAATAGTTGATATATATTTAATATTGAGTTTGTTTGGTAAATTTCGGAATGGCTAACCCCTCCCCGGAACCCCCACTTACGTACCCTTTAGATTTAATCTTTAGAATTAATATGAATAAACACTAACTGTCCTGTTTTAAATAATGAGTATTATTTATGAACATTTTTAGTTTATTTTCTCTATATCGAATTACATTCTTTTAATACGGACATGATGTTATAACCGTAACCGTGTAAAAACATGGTGTAACTGTAGTCACTTTGAGGTATTAAGATTCGATTTTAGCCGATAATCAAACCTACTCATGAAATTCCTTGTGTATACTCACGAAAAAAACAAGGAAATAATACGGTCGCTGATTGGCATGAGAATTTTTATATTTTAGATTATCAATTCTCATAGCATTAGTAATCTGGTCAACGATGTGTCATCTACCTATTTTTATATCTATAATCTATCTGCACACGGCACTAAATCGCTCGGAACACGATCGAATGTCTCGCAAACTATCGAATTGTGAGCACAACACTAGTCGATGCGAAAATAGTGTTATCTCGGATGACGTAATGTTGCTAAACAAGAATATGCACGGATTGATACAGATTCGTGTTTTTAAAAGGCTGTAATTGTTTAAATAAAACAATGTTACAGGTTTAAAAAGCGAAATTTTAACTACGACCCGACGGTTAATTGGATGCGAATGTAGTACTTTTAACGGGCTCGAATAATACAATTTTAACGGTTTAAAAATGCGAAATTTTAACTAATACCCGACGGTTAATTGGATGCGAATGTAGTGCTTTTAATGGGCTCAAATAAAACAATTTTAACGGTTTAAAAAGCAATATATGTATTAGTTACATTTATTTGAAAATTATCTTAATTAGTGCCCGACGTTAGCCCGACGGTGCTTTGCAGCAGTCGTGGTCACGGGGAGAAGCGTCGGATCGTACTTAATTTAAATACATTTCCAATGGGTTTTTTTACATATATGTCATGTTTATAACCGTTAGTGTTTTATTTAAATGAAAAAAAAAATACTAACGAAAATTACAGACACACTTTTTGTATTTTGTTTAAAAAAAAGTCCAAAATAAAATTTTATAAATTGACTTTGTTGCAGGCTTCTGAAATGGTAGGAGGGTGCGAAGTTATGAATCTTCTGCGGCAGCTGTGCGGGGGGGATTCTGCTGGGTAAGTGTGCAGTATGGACTCTGCTAATATATAAACTAAAGAGTTTGTTTGTTTGCACGCGCTAATCTCGGCAATTACTTGTTCGAATTGAAAAAAAATTGTGTTAGTTTATTTATTGCGGAAGGCTTTGGGCTACAGAACATAGCGCTATGACAAATGGGTGCGAAGAAACAGCGGGAAATGTCGATAAAACGGGAAAATTTATTCATCCTTACCCAAAAAAATATGTATGAAAGAATGATTTCTCTTTGAATGAGTTAAAAAGACCGCGACAGTATGGTGTCTGTCTTGTAACATTAACTTGCAAGAACGACGGGACGCGGGCGACGTCGTGGGTAACAGCTTAAATGTATAGTGTTGAAAAGCAAAAATGTTGGGGATACCCAAATTAACTATTCTACGCGCACGAAGTCGCTGATTCAGCCAGTTTAAAATATAGCGCGAAATATGGCAGAAAACAGTTATTTACTCGTAAACAAAACACTTATTGAGTAACGTATAGCGTTCAAAATGGCAGGTCGTAGTAATTTTTTTTTTTTAATTAAAAAAATTAAATTATAATAATATATTAACTAGTAAATTTTTTCGAATCGAAAATTATTGAAAAAAATTTTGACTCGGGCAGGACTCGAACCGGCATCGTCAGCGTTACGTGTTGTTGCTCTACCAATTGATATATAGTATAGTATATTTTGCTTAGTATAATCGGCTCTGTAGCCGAATGGTTAAACGTATTGCCTAACAATGCGTCAAGCGCGGGAGGTCCTGGGTTCGAGTCCCAGGGGAACAAAAAATTGCTTCGGTCAGGCAGGGCACAGAAGTCTGATCAACTTGCCTGATACAATAGACATAAAACCGGACCGAAATTGTTCGGGGGAAACGAATAGATCGGGAATGGGGGGGGCAGGAATGACTTCTCATTCTCTCATATTGATGATGCCGTCCACACGTGATACGAACGTCGAGAACCTGTTCTTACATCGCCGAACAGCCCGAAAGACAATGATATGCTGTAAAATACGTGAAGGCCTTACACAATTTATTTAACTCAATGTTTAGTTGCGTAAAGTACAGAAACTATTCAATAATTTAGTTGGAGTCTTAAACAGTTAAACGCGTAAAATTCACTGTGTATGGAAACCAAATCATTCATTTATGGTTGTAATTGTAAAAATATTACCAATTCATTAATGGTTTGGTATTTGTGAAACAAATCATAAACAATTTCCCACTCATTAGCGCATATTTGGGCAACTGAGTGTGTCGGATGCGATCTTTCGTCCTTGTCTTTTTATTAACAAAGGAACGAGACAAGATGCGGCTAGTGTTGCACCCACACGCCAGCGAATACGGTGTGGTGTGACTAATTGTGAGTAACAAGTGATTTGAGATTATATATTAATAGGTGCTTAGTCAAATAGGCCTATTTATGGCCCACGGTGGGGCATATAACTTCATATTTAAAAAAAATTTCAAACAGTAAAGTAAAAAGAAAAAAACATCGCAACAATTAAAATTTTTTTGATTTAGTTATATAGTAGTGATTTATTTGAATAGAACTCTTTAACGGTTTAAAACGCGCTATATTTTACATTAGGGTTCTGATGATGAAGAGCAATGACTTTTTTTGCTAAATCATTTCTGTCTGTAGTTTACGTGAGTAGTACACATTTAAATAAAACGCTTTAACGGTTTAAAACGCGATATATATTAGTTTTTTTTGAAGTCGATTAAAAAATAGTTTGAGTTTAAACCTGAAAACCTTGCTTCTCCAGCTGGTTGCTGCTGTTGGTGCTGGACATGGTACCTCAATTGGGTAGAGGAGCACGGCTCGCTGTGGATGAAGCCATGTCGAATTTTGTTCAATCTAAATAGATTTTTAATTTAGTTGGCGTTTAGAGCCGTTAAAATGTGTTTTATGTAGTCTATTGATACTGTGCGGTTTGGTTCCTCGGTGTTCGTCGTCGCGTTTGGTCTTAATAAACCAATTATTACTAAAATTGAATGACCGTATGTTGATAAAAGATTGTCAGAAAAGAATGATTGAAAGAAGAAGAAAAAAATGTAAAATTACAAGTACTGATAAAAACTTTTAAATTAGAATCATACTTTTCCGCGAAATTAGTATATTAAATAAAACATTGTAGAACAGTTTAAAATGCGAATTATTTTGACTAAGACCCGAAATTTTCGTGGATTTAATTTGAAGGTTTAACATAAGTTGGTTACATTTCGCGTTTTAAACCGTTCAAAGCGTTTTATTTAAATCATCCTTTTTATACTCGGGCAATACCAAATGACTGATGATGAACTGTCCCCGATGCTGCCGCTGCCGCTGGTCACGTCTTCGCATTGTGCCGTAAATGCGCGCGACCTCATCATTGTTCTGCGCGGGAGTCGATATCACGTGCTCTTAGATCACTGATAGCTAGAGGTCGCGAGGTGCAATGCGGAGACTCTTAATTGCGAAAATGCATCGAGGGCTAAGATTATCAAATACGAGATTTAACGGTTTAAAACTTTTTATTTTCAAAATAGTTAATAAATAAATTAAAAATGTTGTTAAGAAAAATTCAATTCTATGACATTAGCTGCGGAAAACTACGCGTTTCCGTTTTAGGCTTTTATTAATGTTCATGACCAAAAAGTAATAAATATATTTGGCGTTTTAAACCGTAAAATTAGTTTTATTTAAATGTGTAATATTCGCGTACGTAGTACGTACAGTATGTCTTTATTAACTTTATTAAAATGTAATATTATTGGGTTGTTTGACCTACCAACTAAGGAACCTTTAGCGTGTCTATCCTCCTATATAATAAAATATGGGTCGGTAGCACATATGGTGTAGTTTCAAACGAGAGTCAAAGATAACTATGGTTATATTTGCCTATACTAGAATGGGAGAAAGCATAGGATAACCTCCATAGCTTTTAATATTCTACTTTGCGTTATTATTTGACGTCATTCGTAGGGTGACAATACTGTTTACACTATAATTAATTTAATTTATAATTATACTAGCGACCCGCCCCGGCTTCGCTCGGGTGCAATGCTGATACTGAATACACTACAGCAAAACTGTGAACGTTGTATATAAAACCTTCCTCTTGAATCACTCTATCTATTAAAAAAACGCATTAAAATCCGTTGCGTAGTTTTAAAGATGTAAGCGCACATAGGGACAGAAAAAGTGACTTTGTTTTATACTATGTGTGATAAAGCTTTCGCGGACATTTTTCTATACTACTTAGTTTAAAAACAAAATATATTAGTTTTAATTTATTATAAGGGCTGTTTGTTACCTTTCGGATTCTTTACAGCGATATGACGGGGGTACTAAAGTTAGAATATGGCCCTAATGTCAAAGTCAAATATGGTACACTAGCTTTAGAGAAACCGACTACAGATGGCGCTACGAGAGCCCTTTTAAATACGATCCTACGTGTGCGATACAGCTACAATAAATTAATTTATTTCGCGTTAATGAAGTCATAAAAAAACATACATAAGGTTCACTTGATGGTAGGTGAAAAACCCCAGCCATATTACATCCAAACAAGATGCGCTGTCGACCTATTTCGATTTTAGATATTTGGAAATCCATAGACTGAAATCGAAACGCCATCAAACTTCACGGCATTATCATCGGTGGTGGTATTTCGAAATTCCTACCACCATTTAATATCCAAATTTCTTAAATATAAATAGAATTGGAATTGATTTGATTTGAAATCGAACCCAGGACCCGAAGATTATTAGCTATACATTGTTACCATTTTATTTAATGTAAAACACCCACGTACATTACTTACAACGTTTTTGACAAATGTATTATTTTTTAATGTTAAAAGTACGTGTTTTCTAATAATTCCTTGTCACCCTACTCTCGTACCATGGCGTTCCGTTCCCCTTGCATGTCTGCACTTCCCCATTGAAACTCGAGGTCGGACTCTCCGTGTACGAAGGTCACCTCCATGGGAGTGATGTCAGATTTCTAGATAGTTTCAAGGGAGATTAAGTATACCATTTGTCCGAAAGTTTAGCTGATCATCTATACTAATATATAAAGCTGAAAAGTTTGTTTGTTTGAACGCGTTAATCTCAGGAACTACGGGTTCGATTTGTGTTTGTTAGGGCGTTTATCGAGGCAATATAACATCCCGCTGCGACTAATACAACCCAAGTGACACCGGGTAATGTAAGAAAATGGGGGGAACTATTTGAGTTCCGCTGCGTACGCTACGAAAACGGTTATAGATAACCAAAAAAAAAATAATTAAAATATTCCTCTTGAAATGATTTAAAAAAAGGGCCGTGACGACGACGAAACGCGGACGCGGAGGATTGCAAAAACAAATTTTGATTCCGAAAATAACTATTCTACGCGGACGAAGTCGCTGACACAGCTAGTACTTATTATTATTAGTTATAAGAGATATATATATAACGTTTGAATTAAACACTTTAATGGTATAAAACGCGATATATATTCGTTTGAATTATTTTAACTACGGCCCAACGTTTAAACTAATTAATATCGCGTTTTAAACCGTGAAAATTAGTTAAATTTAAATGTGGAATATTCGCGTAAACTACGAACAATATTTATTTATTTACTTTTTTTTGCAACACACACAATGCATGTACATATGTATCTTATTGTATGACTAGTTATGTAAAGAGAAACGGGCGGCCTTATCACTATAGAGCGATCTCTTCCAAGCAACCCTTTATAGTAATAGAAATAACAATACCGTAATTGAATCGAAAGGGCAGTCGCCACACCTATGCATGTTTAGCGCCCATCGATCACCCGAGTCCCGATGGCGGTCAAAGATAAATATCAAATTTAAAACTTGTGTTGATGAAGTAATCGGTCTTCGCGACGCGATCTCCATTAAACTGACCTTCTGGATGATGTCACGCAGTCATCTCCTTAATTTTATAGCCCGGCCACATTCCTAATCTGTTGCTCTAGGATTTTCTTTATGACAGAGGAGTTCAGAGAAGCGTATCTATACTAATATATGAAGCTGAAGAGTTTGTATGTTTGAACGCGCTAATCTCTAACTAATAATTCGAATTGAAATTTTTTTTGTGTATTAGTTAGAACATTTATCGAGGAAGGCTATAAAACATCGCGCTGTTTCTAATAGGATCGAAGAAGCAGAGGGAAATGTAAAGGAAACGGTGGAAAATTCATTCATATCTATCCTACGCGGAGGAAGTCGCTGGCACAGCTAGTAAGAAATTAACAACATGCGCTATTGGCCTTAGTTTTGGATATTCGGAAATCTAATTAAAACGGAGATTAAGCTAGAGACTTTATCGTCTGTGGACCTTGATTTTCGACATCTTTTTTGAGGAAAGGAGGAGAAGATAAAATGACTCCGAGCCGACGATTAACTAATATATTAAAAGTGCGTTTTATTTAAATGCGTAATACATGCAAACACTAAAGATAATATAAACAAAAGCACTTAAAACGGTTTAAACCACGAAATATATTACTTGACTTATTTTTATTTAAATTATAACTACGTCCCACTGTTATGCTTTGCATCAGCTCTGACCACGGAGGCCTGAAGATGTCGTCATGTCAAAGTCAATACTGCTACGCTAACGCCATCTGTTTAGTCTTGCTTACGACACGTTTTACTGATAAGTATTAATCAAGTAATTTTTTTTTCAATGCACAATCGAATATCAAACATGATCTAACAGTCACATCTTCTTATCGCTATGCAACATGTTTATCATATACTAAGTTGTGCGCGCGATTTCGTCCTCGCGTAAATAAATTTTAGCTAAATATGTATAAATTTTTTTTTTCCGTTTTTAACCCCGTTTTTTTTTTTTTCCCCCCCCTCCCCCCCCCCCTCCCAAGCATCCGAGTTGCAACGGTTAAATCTTCAATAATTTACAAATATCAAGTTTAAACCGTTAACTGTTATTTAAATTTTAGTTATTACCGTTTTGCCAGCCCACGAAAGGAAAATAAAAATTTTTTTTTTTTCCCCGTTTTTGTCCACATTTCCAATTATTTGTTGCAGTCTTAATAAATGGTCTATCCAACACAAGAATAATTATTTTTTAAATTCGAACCAATAGTTCCTGAGATTAGCGCGTTCAAACAAACAACCGGGCTTGTTGTTGTAATGGCAACAATACATGACTAATAATCAACGGGTCGTCTATTTGATCTCCACCGGGTCCGACATTTTTCTAATTAATTTATAATTTTTCTGAAACATGATGCACTTCGTCTAGAAATCTAAATATTAAATCGGTGGTAGAAACATTGAAATTCCGAAGTTCCGAACGACTGTCCGAAGATCAACATGGTGGGAAGTTTAATCGCGTTTCGGTTTCAGTCTGCGGATTTCCGATTATCCATAGCTGAGATAGGTCGACAGCACGTCATCTTCTATTAAGTGTTATGTAGGTGGAGTATTTCACCTACATGTCTATCCTCCTCTGTATTAAATAAACAACCAAACTCTTCACCTTTATACATATTAGTATATATTTTCAGCTGTCGTTATCTGAATTTTCATGTTAATGTTAATTAAATTATGATGTCATTTGTGGAGTCCATCGGCGCCATAAAAGTCTAGACACTCCCCTAGGAGACTGTAGTCGCCAGTTTTAACACTCTCCCCTATTTTATTAATGACCGACCAGGGGAGGGGTGTCAACCGACGCAGGCTCAAAATATCGTACAAAACTAAATATTATAGTGCATATTTAGTTTTGTACGATATTTTGAGCCTGCGTACTATTAAAGAATGTAGTATGGAAAATACAATTAAATACAAATTCTTTATTTACCAAAACTGGTGTATATTTCATTATAGGGTGTGATAGCGCCCACACTAGGACTTAATCGTGTTTCGAACCGTTTAAAGTGTTTTATTTTAATGTGAACTACGCGCTTAGTGTGGTGACATTTTTTTGTTCAACTTCAAGATTCTTGACAATTTTTACAGAAACAGAAATGAACGTGTATCGGGAACGAAGAATGCTCAGCTGGTTTGTGTCAGTGGGGGGAGCCCACGGCAGCCAAGCACACCACAACTGTTAAGGGTACTGAGATCCTTCTGAGATCTTCCTATTATTAACTCGCTGTGTCAGCGACTTCGTCCGCGTAGAATAGTTATTTTGGGGAAATTTGTTTTTGCATACCTCCTCGCCTACGACGTCGTCCGCGTCCCGTCATTTACGATAATCTCAAAAGGTAATCTTATATATTAAGATGTAGCGGACATGTTTTTAGGTAATTCAAAGAGGATTAAATTTTTAAATAGATATTTTTTGGTAATACTGAACCTTCGCCCCTTTTAGTCACAGCGCGGCGTCCTCAAATGGACCCGACAACCTCGGCGTTTCGGGATAGACCCGACGATCGGACCTCTTACCAAATAAGTTTACTTACTTCGCTGGCGTAGCGAGCCAAAGTGATTCTTGAGTCCAAACTACCAACCAAATATGCTACCACTTAAATTTTAATGTATATCTCAATTTCAGATCTTGGAAGAGACGATTCAAAAGAAGACTCCCCGGCCGCACTACACCACGCCCCGCAGTCCCCAGAACATCGATAAGTGCCGTATGACCTTCAACATCCCGGAGAGCATTTCGGAGCAACTGTACCAGTACAGAACGAAGTTTGTCCAGCATATGCTGACCAGCTCCATGTACGCGAACAGCGCGGTGGGGAAACCTTGGGAGGTTATTGGCAGGTGAGGGAAGGCTTGGAAAGTGGTTGAGGTACTTCCATTGTACCAGGAGGATACGATGTAATGTTATAGCACCGACTGTAGTTTACGCGAGTAGTACACATTAAAATCAAACACCTTTAACGGTTTAAAACGCGAAATGTATTAATTGACTATGGCTGGTTTCGGATAGTTTGCAACAATCGTGGCCACGGGGACAATTATAAAAAACTAATATATTTGAATAAAACACTTTAACGGTTTGAAACGCGGTATACTATAACTAATATATCGCATTAAACCGTTAGTGTTTTATTTAAATGTGTACTACTCGCGTAAACTATAGACAGTATCAAAAACTAATATATTTCGCGTTTAAAACAGTTACAAGAATTTCTTTCAAGATTTTATGGTATTTTAATAAAATGACGTAACGAATTAACAAATGAAAATAGATGCAATTACAATTCTTTTTAACTTTTACATAAGTAAAAGTAGCCGAAGTAGCAAAGTTTACGCTTAAATAAGACACTTTTAACAGTTTAAAACGCGAAATATATCAGTTAATTTGTTTTTAGTTTAATTTAACTACGACCTGACGTTTCGGACGTTTCTAACATCCGTGGTCAAAGAGGGACTATTGTAAATATGTTACCTTATATGTTTCGCGTTTTAAACCGTTAAGAGTTTCAATAAAATGTTATCCACGTATCTTTAAGAAGCACAGTCACAGTCGGTAAATATACAATTCAGTATTGTTTGTAGTCAACGCGAGTAGTATACGTTTATAAAAATATTTTTAACGGTTTAAAACGACATCAGAGACACCCTCCATCTTCACTCCCTGTTCCCACGGCTGTTGCAAAGCATCCGAAACGGGACGTTAGTAACAAATTTCCTAATGTTTGGCTACTGCGAATATTTCGTGTTTTAAACCGTTAAAAGTTTCATTTTTACTACCCCTTATTCACGTGGTTTTTTAGAAGGAAATTGACAGATTTACTTTTCAGGGTGTCGGAGAATTTGATAGACGAGCTGCTTCTATCGTGTGCTAAAGAAATGGAACTGCAGCGTCATGTTCGGGAACTTTACAAGCAGGAGACATCGTAACAGCAAAGTTTCTGATTAAATGTATATGTCGATATGATTTTCGTTTTTTTTCATATCTATATCTATGCTAATATTATAAATGCGAAAGTAACTCTGTCTGTCTGTTCGGCTTTAACGACGAAACTACTGAACTGATTTAAATTTGGTACACAGATATTTTAGAGCCTGAGAAAGGACAGAGGCTACTTTTTAATGCCAAAAAGGGCTTTATAGAGGTTGAAAAAGGGGATGAAAGTATGTATGCATATGTGGTTTTTGAAGCTAGAACAATGAAACTTTCTTCTTTGGCTTTTTGGGAATAGGAATGGGAGTTAGAGTAGGAGTGATGTGAGGTGAGTGTTGCGGCAAAGTAGCACTTACCATACATTGGCTGCCTTAAATGCGCCCTTACATAAATTAATAAACAGCCTAAATAATTCAAAATTCTACCCATAGTCACTATTCGACGCGGACGAAGTCGCGGGCACAGCTAGTTCGTAAATAAAAATAAAATTACGTCTTTTGTAACAATAATGTCAACGTATTTCTCACATGTCATTGAATACGATCAAATTAAAAATCTATTTAGACTACGAAACAGTTGGGACTGGGACTCGAACCGGCACCCACAGCGTTCCGTGCTGCTGCCAAGTAATTTGACGTAATCGTCGAATTTCTCCAACCTATTCATACATGCACTCGTTCAAAGTCAAATAAAGTTATTATTATAGATGATTTAATAAGTTTTAATTTTATAAACTTTTTCACTATACTTTGTTTTGATTTAAACATCTAACATGCTTTACTATTAATTTCATTTTTCGAATTTATGTCACAATAAGTCGACAGCACATCTGATGGCTGGGCTATTGCACTTTACATAAGGTGCTCGTCTCTATTTTTTTTAATAAACGAATCTAATTGTCTCCTACAAAGTTACTCTGAGCACAGTTAACTAATGCTAAAATAAGCCGACAACGCATCTTAATGAGATGCAAAATGGCTAGAGAATTTCTCAATAGCAAAATAAGTCGACAGCACAACTTTGGTGGGTGGAATATTATCCATCCAACGACCACCGTACTGTTTTTATCTTTTGTTTTTATTTTTGGACTGTGTTATCTTCTGTTTCAAGGTAAAGTTAAGCTAAAACTTTGTCTATTTTATATTGTACTAGCTGAGCCAGCGACTTCGTCCGCATAGAATAGTTCGTTCTAGTCCTTACGTCGTCGTTCGCGTCCTGTTGCTCGCGACCCGTCGTTCGGATCCTGTTGCTCTTGCGGTTTCATCTTAAGAGATAGACATATACTGTTGCGGACATTTTGTTTGATAATCTAAAAAAAAATATTTCTTTGTATATATTTTTTGGGTGTCTTGAACCATTTTCGCAGCGTACGCCTCGAAAAGCCACAAAGGTGAATAATTTTCCCCGTTTTTTCCCCATTTGCCATTATTTCTTCGCTCCTATTAGACACAGCGCAATGATTTAGTAGCCTATAGCCTTCCTCGATAAATGCTCTAACGAACGCAATAAGATATTTCAATTCGAACCCGTAGTTCCCGAGATTAGCGCGTTCAAACAAACAAACTCTTCAGCTTTATATATTAGTATAGAATCATTTGCTTTGCCTGTTCATTAGTTTTGGGATCTCTTAAGGGAAAATAAAACAACAGTTTTTGGACATAAACGGTATTAATAACAAAAGTAAACAATAAAAACTAAACATTCATCCGACACATCAGTCTTTGCGGACTTTTGCTTAGTATCTACAATTCATACACATTAAATAAAACACTTTTAACGGTTTAAAACGTGAAATGTATTGGGTTATTATTATAGAGGAGGACGGACAAGCAATTTACTTGAAGGTAGGTGAAATACCCCAGCTTATAGAATCTAAACAAGTTGCGCTGTCGACCTATTTTGGCTTTGGATATTCGGAAATCCACATACCGAAACGCGATTCAATCGTGACTTCGGAATTTCAGCACTTTGCAGCAGACGTGGTCTCAAGGATAAAGGTTTAAATACTGTCTATAGTTTACGCGAGTAGTACACATTTAAATAAAACACTTTAACGGTTTACAACGCGATATATTAGTTTATTTGGCTTCAAAAAATTCTACAAAGCATTTTTATTAAACTATCAGAACACTTTGCCGCTGGGCGCAAGAATTTCTCCCTCCTATTTACGCCAATAATTTCTAATTTCTATTTTTATCATTTATTGCTTCCTAATGTTTACCACTAAAGTCACTGTTATATAGTATCGAATGGTTGTATGTGCGCTGTCTAACAGACAAACGGTAGGGTTTTGCTGAAAATCAGTGTTGTAGCATAATAACCGTGCTACAACTTATGCTGACGTAAGACCCTTTTGGCATCATTTTTAACAAAATTTAATTTAATTTTGTCGTAGTATTATTGTTTTACTTTTATTATTATTATTTTTTATTGTAATTACATTTATTTTTATTACGTCTAATAATTGTACAAAATGAATGCTAAATAAAGATATTTATTATTATTATTAAACTTATTTGAAAATGTCGGGCCGAAGTTAAAAATCATTTTCAAATAAGTTTAACTAATATATCGCGTTTTAAACCGTTAAAGTGTTTTATTTAAATGGATAAAGGTTTGTCTAATACATTCGCGTTTTGAACCGTTAAAAATGTTTTGTTTAAGTGTTTACTACTCGCGTAAACTACAGGCAATACTTAAACAAAGTTCAAATTCAAACACAAACTATATTAGTTAATCGGTACTTTACAGCCGTGGTCACGTGATCATCGTGATAACATATTAGTTAGCCAGTATAATGTTTCTTTTTAAACCGTTAAAAGTTTTTATTTCTATAATTTGTACCTGCACAGTCTATAAGTTACGTACTACATTTGTTTTCTTTGTAATGTTGAACGATTTTATTATACAACATAGACTATTAATTTTAGGTCCATACGTCCCGTCACTAAAATTGACAGTTTACTGTGACAGATGTGTCAGAGTAAAGTGTCAACCGGGCCATGCTACTGGACACATACTATGAAAACAGTTTACATAAAACGGCGAATCCAGGGTCATGAGGGTCATGTCATAAAAATAAATATATTATTGGCTACGTGACTTCCCCGGCGCTAAAGGTGGATCCGTTTACACAAATGTTACATAAGGCACTTAAACGTAAGACTAGGTTCACACTCCCGGATACGTTTGTCAACCACTGAAGTCCTTACATCATTACGTATTACATTACTTAAACTTGGTCATCCTTCAAGGACAATCGTAGAGAATTCAGTACTTCCCCGAATTTGTCCTTCTGTCGTTTCAATGTGTCGTTCTTTTCCATTTTTGGCAGTTTTTGTATGCTTTCTGTGCTAGAAGTATCAGTTTGGTATGCTTCTTCGGGCGTGGGCGGATTTGACTTCATCAATCTTGCCTTCATGGGCTTGGGGCCGCCCAAAGCAAATATGTTTTCCAACTTCGATTTAAGATCTGCCTTGCTTAGACTTTGATCTTCTTCTTCATTAATTTCCGTGGGTTCTTCCGCCTTGACGGGTTTTAAAATTTGCGTTTTCTCTCTTGTTTGAAGTTCCTTCTTCAAGTCCAGGAAAAGCTTAGGCCTTTCACGGTTCAGTGAGGATAACTCTGTATTTTCAGTGAGGTTTCCCGCTGAGTTCGATCTTGTTCGCTTCTCTTCTCCATTCTCACCACTTTCTGATATTTTGTTTTTAAAAATCGTATCTAATTTGGACATGAAGTGTATTTGCTTATCACTGCCAAATGTCATGGGTTCGTCGTCGACTGAACCGTTGGACTGTACGCTCTCTCGCGGTTTTTCGTCCGGCTCGGGTGATCTCACTTTTGTGGGTCGTACTGATATTGTGTAAGCTTTTTTGAAGGTAGGACTCGCAAAGAAATTTTCATCTAGTGGCGGCGGTACGGGAATATTAACTATTTCTTTATCATCAGGGAGTTCGTTCAGTGGTGTCTTATCCAACGTATCGGAATACCCAGATTCATCGGTTCTAGAATTGTTATCACTTTCATCTAGGTAATTGTTATTCTCACCCTCTATTCCATCTACTATCTTCTCATCTTCCTTATTGGATAAACTATATTCCAATTTTTCGTCTTCCTCTTCGAGTCTCGGTAAATCTTCTCTATGTACTTGAGCAATAACATCATACTTCGATAACATTTGGTTACCCATTGACGCATCCGAACCCGCGTCGGATACATCACTCAATGACTTCCGTTGAGTCCTCTCAGTTGTTACCTGAGCCACTGACGTTTTCTTTTCTTCGGGCTGTTCTTTCAAACTTATTATTTCTCCATAGGAATCTTCTTCAGCTTGGATAACTTGATCTAACAAATCAATTATCTTAGCTTCCTTTTCAGAACTGTCTTCAACGACTGCTGCTTGCTGTACGACTATTTCTTCTGTGATACAAGGTAAAGCTCTTCTTTCACTCTCTCGTATGACAAGTGTATTTCGTTTTTCTTCTTGTGTGATTTGTTCAGCATCTGTATTGTTACTCTTTATGCTCTCGGGGGGTGTTGGTGATTCAACAAATATTTGCACGCGACTTCCATTCTTATTACTATGATGCGAAGGTGTAAAGTCCTTGTTGTCTTCGCATTTTGATTTATAGCAACAAACACAAACTATGTACACCGGTATCCCTGTAAGAAAATATTATGTTATTATTTATCATCAGGGAGAGAGATCCACGGGGTTCTTTTTACACATTACAATAAGATAGTCATTCGACAATATACTAGACTGAAAGTGAAATTAGAAATAGACTTAGAGCAACTGATGACAGTACATACGAAATACTAATTTAATGCCTACATTTAACAGAAGTCCGTTATCTAATTGTTTAGATCAGAGATGGACGTACCGCGCCGGTAGAATACTGATGGCCCGCCGAGAGCAAAAATTCCACTCAAATTAATAACTTACTTTTAAATTTTAAGACATTATTATCAATTCTTTATTGTCTTTGTCTATTTGATGCTTTGCAGCAGCCGTGGTCGCGTCATCTACCCAAATACCAACTTCGACGGAACAGATGGCACTAGCGTAGCAATTTTTACTTTGACATCCCCCATCTTTAGTCTCCCCTTGATCACGGCTGCTGCAAAGCATCCAAAACGTCGGGCCGAAGTTAAAAATCATTTTCAAATAAGTTTAACTAATATATCGCTCTTTAAACCGTATAAGTAAATGATCTTCAAATATGTTGGGCCCGGAGAAAATCAATACCAAGATCTAGTTGTGGTACCCCTTGCAAGAAAACACATATATTACCAATAGCCATCCAAACGAGGACCCGGAGCCAGGTCTGTGCGCTGATGAGGATCATTAAATGGATGTTCACATAGATGCTGAGACACGGAATGAGAGGCACCAGCGGGGTCTGGAATCAGATTATGTAATTTCATTAATCACTAGATGTGCCCGCGTCTTCTTAAGCTTAAGCGTGAGTTGTAAACCAAAAACTTCATTTCGTCCACTAGTGGGATGAGGCGATCATATTTCAGTGTCTGTTTAAGTTACAGCCGTTTGTTTAAATACTGTTTGTAGTTTACGCGAGAAGTGCACATTTGAAGAAAACATTTTAACGGTTTAAAACACGATATATATTAAGTAAACTTATTTGATAATTATTTTAACTACGACTCGTGCGAAACGTCGGTCCGTTGTTGAAATAATTTTTAAATGTATCTAATGTATAACACGTTTTAAACCGTTAAAGGGTTTTATATAAAAGGCATTGGTTTATCACACTAAAGTGCTCTTATTGACACTATAATATTTCTCCCGGGATGAGAATCTAGAACCTCTCGCGCAAATTCTTGTTATTGGATCATTTTAAGACTTATGTACATATTCCGTGACCACGGCTGCCGCAAAGCATCCGAAACGTCGGGCCGTAGTTAAAATAATTTTCCAATAAGTTTAACCAATATATATCGCGTTTTAAACCGTTAAAGTGTTTTATTCAAATGTGCACTCAGAATATTTTACCTTAAAAGACAACTCCTCTCTATTTTGCGGTTGCAGCGTCATAACGACGATCAAAGTTAGCCCTACTGCGTGTAACACAACTGTGGGTATCATCGGTCTCTCGACGTGTGTCACTATCAATGCTATTGATAGACAAACACATACTGCAAAGGAAACATTCACGTTTACAACACTAATCATTAATTATTTATTTACTGGCTGTGCCAGCGACTCCGTGCGCGTAGAATAGTTATTTTGGCCATCCAAATTCACAAAACGTTTTTGCAATCTTTATAAACTTAAGCCGTTACCCGCGACGTTTGTGGCGTCCCGTTGTTCTTGCAAGTTAATCTTAAAAGATAGACATATACTGTCACATTTCTTTAAGGTCATTTAAAGAAGAATCATTCTTCACACATATTTTTTGGGTATCTGGAATCATTTTTGCAGCAAAAGAAACCCTTAAAGATAAATCATTTTTCCCGTTTTCTCCACATTTCCCGCTGTTCCTTCGCTCCTAATAGTCACAGCGCGACGTTTTAAAGCGTAAAGTCTACCTCGATAAAAACTCTAACTGACGCTTGACTTACTTGACTTAACTAATATATTTCGCGTTTTAAATCGTTCAGTGATTAAATGTTTGCACACTTACTAAATATAATTAACGTTATTTTAACGACATAAGAGGTCGTTATCGTGGGATGCTTCTCACCACAACAGAAGACTCTCCTTATGAAGTTGTATCCAGAAGATGACACGCAATCTGATCTATATCTGAAAAACATTGATTTAAAACCAGTAAAATATTCTGTCTGTCAGAATGTCTGTGTGCTGTCTGTAGTTTACACAAGTAACATTTCAAGTCCTGCCCGAGCCGACAATATTTCAATTTATTTTCGATTTTTAAATTAGTTAAAATTATTTTAAATACTGTCTGTAGTTTACGCGAGTAGTACACATTTAAATAAAACACCTTTTTTTTTTTTTTTTGAATTGACTATTACGTATTGTGTTCCTATGGAGCCACGAATACTAACCGGGCGTTTTGGGCGAGCGCGAGAGCGCTCGCCGTGTTTGCGGCTAGACCAAGGGTGCCCCGAGGGGGGCAACGGCCTCGGCTTGGACCGCCGCAATGCGGGTGGGAGCTTGAGGAGCTGGACGGAAGCTCACCCGGGTGAGCGGTACGCGTAGCGAATGACCTCGCCTACGCCGGCGTAGGCGGTTTTGCGGGCGATCGGCACCGGTGCCGGTCGATCGCGTAGCGACGAGGGTTTCGACGGCTGTGTTTAAGTTGTCAGCGAGATCGGAGAGAACGTTACGCGGCCTTCTCCAGCGTGTGTCTCCACAAGTCTCTCAGTGACCACGGCTGATGCAAAGCATCCGTAACGTCGGGCAAGTTTAACTACTAAAATATAACGCGTTTTAAACCGTCGAAAGCGTTTTATTTAAATGTGTACCACTCGTGTAAACAACAAACAGTAATTAATTCTTAAATTATTTTTTTATATGTTCACATTACAAAACGTAACAATCATTTACGAAATTTATACGAAAAACTTACTACATACCTAAGCAATATCACGCAGGTTGCAACGATGGTATAGGACAGAAGTGTCCCCACGCACATCATCATCACCAGCTCCTGGAGTTCTAGAACACCAGCTAATGTTGCTGAAAAAGAAGAGAACAACACACACACACACACAATTAGGAACAACACTTTTAACGGTTTAAAACCGCGAATTCTCTTTTGACCTACGACCACGAACTCTGAAAAGCATCCAAAACGTTGTAAATTTAAGTAATATATTTCGTTTTATTTAAGTTGGCCTATTTAAACACACACCGGCGCCGTAACGCATTACGTGACGAAGTGATTAACATCGATCGGAAACTAAATTTAAATATGCTGAACCTTCCATCTGTCATCCATTTGCTTATTTGGAAATCATTATAACTACGACCCGACGTTTCAGTTGCTTCGCAAAGCTAAAGCAATAACAGGTTAATTTCGCATCTTAAACCGTTAAAGTGTTTTCAAATTTTTACTACTCGCGGAAACTACAGTATCCAAAACGGAAATACCTATAATAAAAGCTGGAATAATGGTGGCGACGATCGGTATCTTGTTTCTGGTGGTGACTTTCCCCAGCCAGTGGAGAAGCAGACCATCAACTGACATCGCATATAACAGCCGCGGCAGAGGAAACATGGCTCCGAAGAGACTGGAAAAATATAAATCAAATCAGTGTCTATACTAATATTATAAAGCTGAGTTTGTTTGTTTGAACGCGATAATCTCAGCAACTACTTGTTCGAATTGAAAAAATATTTTTGTGTTGGTTAGAGCATTTACTGCGGAAGGCTTTAAGATCACGCCGAGACAATAAGGAGCGTAAAACAGTGGGAAATGGGGAAAATTGTGCATATTAGAGGTTTTCCGTTGAGTGCTTTGCGAAAACGGTTCAGAATACCCGAAAAGTATATATGAAAGAATGATTCCTCTCAGAACGACGGGACGCGGACGACGTCGTGGCTAACAGCTAAAATTTATAAACCCATGTTTACATTTACACAAAACACTTTAACGGCGGAGGTTAGCATAAACAAATTTGTATGCCCAAAATAACGATTCTACGCGGACGAAGTCGCTGGCACAACCAGTCTACACAAATATTATAAACATAATAAAAATAATAATTCTCTCATGAATACCTGGCAGATATACCGAAGACAGCCCCAACGGAGACCACCCAGCGCGCCCACTCCCATCCAACATAGCTGAACGCATGCGCAATGGCTGCCGTGACGTCCTGAAAATATAAAAAAAATCAAATATATATACATACATATGTTTATTTCTTTGCTGGTTCTTATTCCATGCCCTGCCCGACCGAAACTTCGACTTACTTTAAACGTCCGTAACTCATTAACCATTAAGGTACGGAGGTGGAGAAGAATACACTTAAATAAAACATTTAACGGTTTAAAACGCCAAATATATTACGAGGACCTACTTAACTTTGTATAGCATACAACACGTTAGGCTGTTGTTAAAATAAATTATAAATAAGTTAGGTAATATTTTTTGTTATTTACCGTAAAAATGTTTCATTTCAATGTCTGTGTAGAGTAAGGCGATACATGCTATAATACAATTTCTTCTTTTTTAATAGTGAAAAATTGAAAAGTTTTTTTTTTATGTCGTCTTAATAAATGTGTGTAAGTTCGATTCGCAGCCAGTCCCGTGAATTAAGTGATTTGTGAACTCAACATGCTTTATATGGTTTTAAACATAAAAGATCTAGCTTATCAAACGGGTGGTAGGAACATCGATATTCCATTATAACGAACCATCATCCACAGATGAAAAAACGCCAGCTTTAAACGCTTATCGATTTCAGTCCGTGGATTTACAATCCAAAGCCAAAAAATTGCTTAGATGTTCTATAGCTGGGGCTTCCTCCATATTTAGTCTCCCCGTGACCACGGCTGCTGCAAAGCGTCCGAAACGTCAGGCCGAAGTTAAAAATCATTTTCAAATAAGTTTAACTAATATATCGCGTTTTGAACCGTTAAAGTGTTTTATTTAAGCGAACCCCATGGTTCGCTGTCTTCATACCTGCATGTAGTAGGGCACCATCATGGTGATGACTGTAGATACACTGGCATACACCACGAAGACAATCACCAAAACAGCCAGGATCGATATTGGTATGACTCGCCTCGGGTCTTTCACCTGGAAATAGATGCAGAACATTCTAAAATCAAATTAACGGTTTAAAACGCAAATTCAATATTTTTAGATTCGAGCCGACATTTTTGTCATTTCTACTACTATAAAGAATCCTAAGTATTGTAATTCCGTTAAAGCCACTTAACAACACGAACAAAAACACTTTAACGGTTTAAAACGCGAAATATATTAGGTAAACTATTTTTTTTTGTCTTTGTATAGCTTTCATGTTGTCTATGTCTATAGATGTTTTATTAATTTTGTAAATAATTGTGAAAAAACGTCGACAAACAGTACATAAATAGATTAAAAATCAAAGACCAGAAATTTAAAGTCAAACAATTTAACGGTTTAGAAAAGAAATTCCTCATTTTTTTTGCTTCGACCCGACGTTTCGCTCCGTTCTGTTGCTACAGCGCACCTAAAGTATTGTCTGCACGTTAAAGCGAGTATTGTACATTAAAATAATCGGCTTTCAACGGTTTAAAACTCAAATATAATTTTTATTTTAAGTTAATTTGTCTAATTGGTTTTTGCTGCCATGGAGCATTCGAAACATCGGGTCGTGTTTAAAAATAATTCAAGTAATATATTTCGCAATTAAACGGATGAAAAAGCCGTGTCAGTCTGTGGATTTCCCAACACCCAAAGCCAAAACAGGTCGACAGCGCATTGCGTTAGATGTTGTCTCTGGGGTCTCCTTTCATCAAGTGAATGCTTGCCTCTCTTCTATGAGGCTGCTAGAGCCAGAGTGGCTCATATATTATAAGGCTTACCTCTTCTCCCGTTGCGCTGATCGTGTCAAACCCAACGAAACCGTAAAAGCACACAGCGGCCCCCCTCAACACCCCCCAAATGCCGTAGGGAAAGAAACCGCCCTTGCCAAAGTCAGCCGGCACGTCCGTGGCTGGTATTCGCCAATTGGCAGGATTTGCTGTAAGATATGACAGGTACTAAGTTTTCATTCTCTTACACTTTTAACGGTTTAAAACTCGAAATATATTAGGTAACTTATTTCAAATGTAATTAAACTTTGGCCCAACGTACTCGACGTCTTTTAAATTAATTTTGAATAAGTTAAGTAATACATCTCGCGTTTTAAACCGTTATAAAGTGTTTTACAAAACTGTGTACTGAACAAAGCTACAGACAATACTTCTAACTATTTAAAACACGTTCATTAGCCATTTTCTTAGTGATATTTATGCTAAGTGCATACTGTAGTCTTCCTAAGGACCCAAGTTTGACGGAATTCAAACACGTTGAATGTGTAAACACCGTGTTTGAGCAGATAAGCGTGCGGTTCTCTGAACGAAAGTGAAATACCACGGTCATAAACCATCCAGACTGATGCGCTATCGACCTATTTTGGCGTTCAATATTCGGGAATCAACAGATTGAAACCGAAACGCGATTAAACTTCACACCTTTTTTATCGATGGACGGAATTAAGATATCGCTATCACCAATTTAATATCTAGATTTTATCCTTTGGGACAAGAAGATTCAGAAAAATTATATATTTATTAGAAACACACTGTCTGTAGTTTACGCGAGTAGTACACATTTAAATAAAACACTATAACGGAAGCGTCGGGCCGTCATTGAAATAATTATCCAATAACTTTAACTAATATATATCTCGTTTTAGACCGATTTGAAAATGATTAGACCGATTATACCGAAAATGATTAGAAACACGTCGGATCCGGTGGGGATCGAAGCCACGACCCGACACCAACGAGCCTTGCAAAATTGGATAAAACTCCTCACCATTGATAGAACCGGCGACCACGACGAACACAATCACTATCATGTTGACAATTGCAAACACGTTATTCACTGTCGCCGACTCGCGCGCACCGACCGCCAACAACACTGCAACAACAAACAAACAGTTGTTCATTCGTCCAACAACATCTTAAAGATTGAAATATCAAAAGAGCTTCTCTCCGTTCTTTTAAGAGTTTGCTCCACCTACCCACTTTTCTATTTCTTTTCTCCTGTACTTTAGCTTGCCTGCAAGAGATCGCTGCATAGCGATAAGGCCGCCTTTTATTTATTAGTCAGTAAGTACGAATGATTCTTTACTATGGTATGTATTATATATAAGTGTGAAATCCCGTTTTCCCCTCGTGGGGCATGGGGCGAACATATTTCTGTGTCCGTTTCACTGATCCGTTCTTTAACAGGCAAGCAGTTGATCAGACTTCTGTGCCCTGCCCGACCGAAACTGTAATCGAATCGAATTTGTTTCTCTGGGATTGGAATCCAGGACCTCACGCGCTTAACGCAATGCTCGGCAATACGTTTAACAATTTGGCTACAGAGGCGGTCGTGTTATAAATAATAAAGTTATAATATATAAAGTCGCCATTATCTGTCGCATAAATTTAATTGTAATGAAGAGCGTACACACTCAGTTTAGCTCAATTGAGCTACGGACACGGTAGCTCAAATGAGCTAAACTGAGCTACCGTGTCCGCGTTGGTTAATTGCACGTCAAATTGCAAAGTCAATCCCGCCAAAGTTTTAAATATGAAATACTAGCTGTGTCAGCGACTTCGTCCGCATAGAATGGTTATTTTAGGTATCATAATTTATTTTTGCAAAACCTCTTCAACTATATAAATTTAATCTGTTACACACGACAACGGTTACGTCCCGTCGTTCTCGCTACATAATATCTTGAACCGTTTTCGCAGCGTACACACTGCAAAAGCAAAGATGATTTTCCCCGTTTTTCCCACATTTCCCACTGTTTATTCGCAACTCTTACTTAGAGTGCGATATTTTATAGGCTTCCTCGATAAACGCCCTAACCGACACAAAAGACTTTTCCAATTCAAATCAGTAGTTCCTGATATTAGAGCGTTCAAACAAACACTTCAGCTTTATATATTAGTATAGAGTAAAGACTAAACTACCTCCCAACACAAGCACCACAGCAAACGCAAAGAAGTCGAAGAACGACGAAAACGGTCGAACTGATATTGGCGCAACAGAGAGAAAAGCTTCCGACATTGTCTTGTTGAGCATCGAATCTAGGTACATGCTGAGACCGCGGGCCACACTCGCTGTACCTGAAACAACAGTTTTTTAAATGAATATTAATGAAACCCTCTTAATTATTAAACGGTTTAAAGTGTGAAATACATTAGTTAACTTATTTCTACTATGACCCGACGTCGGGCCTCCTTTAACATTAATTGATATTAACCGGTTTCTCGATTTACACCGTTAAAAGTGTTTTATATATATGTATTCTACTTACGTAAATTAGTTACAGTGAGAAATTCTTTGGTTTTTTTCGATAAGTGTTGTTCCTCTATCCGTAAAATTCTTACGTGTTCCTGGATCATTAGGGATATTTTAACAAATAAAGTTAAGATTCCGCGAGTGAAGTTAAAAGATACAGAATGTATTGTCATATTTTAAGATTTGAGAAACAATAAATAAATATTTATACAGTGTATTTTTTCTAACATGGCATTTTTGGTAAACAAACACACAATTTTCATGAAATCCTGATTTTCACTAAAACGCTTTGAGACAATATATAATCCATATTAAACTAATGAATTGTCTCAAATTCACACATTTATGCTAAAATATAAAAATCCTAAAAATAAGTTTACACAAATGCAAAAATTAAATTTTCTTTAAATATTAATGACATAAAAAACAAAGTGATTTTTAATATTGAGGTCTATAATCTATGACCATTTATCCCTTTGCCATCTGTGGTATCAACTTCACTCTATAAAAGACTATAACTTAGTCTTTATGGTTTGAAGTCGGCTATAGTCCTATACCAAGTTAGAAAAAATAAAAATTATTTATTATAATTTCCATTAAAGAAGTATATACCATTTAAATATAACACTTTAACGGTTGAAAACGGGATATATTAGTTAAACTTATTTGAAAACGATTTTTAACTTCGGCCCGACGTTTTGGATGCAGCAGCCGTGGTCACGGGGAGTCTCACGACTGCTGCAATTACTCGCGTAAGCTATAGACAGTACTTAAGTATATACAAATTAAAATATCTGATGTATATATAAATGTAGTTTATAAATTTATAAGAGTCACAATAAAAGGGAAGTATTTGAAAATGTGTAATAAGAGCCATCTAGCGGCAATGTGGGACTACCTAATTAAACCAGAATTACTATTTTACCGACCGTTGGGTCTTCAGAAGCCCTGTTAAAAAATTGTAAGGACATAAGACCACTTTATAAATTCTTTAGCTTATCTGCGTTTGAACGGTAACCATAGCAACCTGCCATTAAACCATAATATTATTAGACTCTATATTGTACTAGCTGTGCCTTCGACTTCGTCCGCTGAAAATAGTTATTTTAAAGATAAACTATTTTAGCATACATATTTTTTGGTTTCCTAAACCGTGTTCACAGTTCTTTTTAGACGCAACGCGATTTTACAGCCTAAATCCATCCGCGATAAATGGTCTATCCATCACAATTTCCCAAGAATGTGACTTCCAACACTAGTGCAATATGAAATAGTAGTTCCTGAGATTAGCGCGTTCAAACAAACAAACTTTTCACCTTTAAAATATTAGTATACAGAAGACCTTACCGAACATCGCTTCAAGTATCATATTCCATCCGATTATAAAGGCCACCAGCTCTCCCATAGTCACGTATGTGTAGATGTACGCTGAACCCGCCCTTGGGACTCTCGATCCGAACTCCGCGTAACACATGCCTGGAAAATTAAAAAAAAAAGATTACATTTAAAGTGGTTCATATGAGGCTGCTAGAGGCAGAGTGGCCTAATAACAAAACACATGATTTTCGATAAGGAGGAAAAAAATCGCAATTAACTTAGGCGAATATGAATTTGTGATATTATTTGTGTAAGAATTGTGTTAACAAATTTCGGTCACTGTGCTCTTGTAGATTAACATTTTTAGACTATAAACATATAAATAAGTCAAGTCGTAAAATTGTAGTTAGGCTACTCTGCCTCTAGCGGCCTCATATAAGGTAATGTATTAATTTACCTGCAAATAGGGAAGCGATGGCTGCTATGAGGAACGACAGTACCACGGCTGGTCCAGCAAAATTCATGGCCACGGATCCCACTAAAACATACACTCCCACGCCCAGCGTGCTTCCCACGCCAAGCGCCGTGAGGTCCCATACTGATAGACATCTAGAGCAATAGATAAGTGTGTTTAAAACTGTTACTTAAACATTTAATTTTGCGCGACAAGATGCGCGAGAGTGAGACCTATATTGATAGATCGAAAGCACATCCTGTTTAGATGTCATATTGAGGTATATCACCTCCCATCAAGTAAATCCCATACTTGTCTGTATTACACGATATTAAAAAAAAACTTTTAACGGTTTAAAACGCGAAATATATTACTCAACATAATTTTGAATTTATTCCAACTACGCCTTGACGTTTCAGATGCTTTGTAGAACTAGACTTGGGGGGGGACTAAAGATGGAGATCCCAAATTGTCAAAGTCAAGCGCCATCTAGCAAGACGTCGGGCCGTAGTTATACTAAATTGTAAATAAGTTAGCTAATAAATTCCGCGTTTTAAACAGTTAAAAGTGTTTTAATTAAATGTGGCAATACTTAATTTTTGTAATTAAAATACCAAACTAACATTCTTCATTTATCTCTCTATCAATCTTTTTTCCTAATCCTATAATAATCATACGAAAATTGTAAAACCACCTCCTCAAGTTTCCTTCCTCGAGCTGCTCAGGTTTGAAGACCCGCTTCCGTTGCAGCGAGCTGCTCAGCGCTGCCCACCTGCCCATTGAACCACCAACCTGCTCCTTTTATTGCGCATCTGGATATCTCGACATTACCTGAAAAAAAAATTAAATCAACCTTTTCGAGTCATTCACATTTTACAACTTATTCCAACGAATATTATCTATTCATTTATAACCTAATTTAATAAGCACTAATATAATTAAGACACGAGCAGGACTCGAGCTGGTACCACAGCCTTGCACTAACCAATTGAGCTACCGCGACCTATATCATCGTCTGGCTTTTTCGATCTATTATACCATGCACGTCTCGCGCACAATATAATATTGTTTAAATATATTCAAAAAATCAAATTTAAATGTAATAAAACGGTTACGGGGGGCCAACACGAAACGTCTGGCCGCAGTTAAAATTAATTGTGTTCAATTTAACCAACACATTTCGCGTTTTAAACCGTTAAAAGTGTTTTATTTAAATGTAAACAACTCGCGTAGAGTGAAGACAATACTTAAACTCATTAGAACCCGCCAAAGTGTGTGGAACTGACAATAATTTGTGTCTGTGTGTGTCACATTCCGATAAGTCTAATAATTATAAATCATTTACCTTTTTAATCGCTTCATTATCATAAAATTATTGAATACTTGCGATCCTTATCACAAATGATAGTGACATATTGTTTACTTGCCAAAAATATTTCTATCAAACCAGAAAGGGAATTAAAGGTTTTATATCTCTACTAATACTAGCTGTGCCCGCGACTTCGTCCACGTGGAATTGTGACGGGGTAGAATTTTTAATTATTTAGGCTGTTTGAAATATTTACGTAAGGGCGCATTTAAGGCAACCAATCTATGTTGTAAGTGCTACTTTGCCGCAACTCTCTCACCTCACATCACGCCTACTCTAAATCCCACTCTCATTCCCACCAAAATTCCTTTCAATCAGTTCAGTAGATTCCGAGTTAAAGCCGGACAGACAGACAGAGTTACTTTCACATTTATCGATATCATCGATCCGCTTGCACTATGACTATGAAAATTTAACTTTTTAACGCTGGTTCAACGCCGAACATTAATAGATTGTATGACGTTAAAGAAGATCTGCTCAGGTGAGCAGACTTCTTCCGAACTACTTGGCTTACTATACCTTCATGTCCCCGCCAGGTCTCTTCGTTCATGTAACACCTTTGACTTGCCCTCTGCTAGAACTAATATTCGGTTTCGAATGCCTCTACGTAGAATGTGTAAATCGTACAATACAAGATTCAACAATGTTGACATATTTTCGTGCCCCCCTGCGGAGTTCAGGCGCAAGCTGTTATCAATGTTGAGAAACGAACTTGCGTCTGACTTAAATTTAACTTAATTGCTTGTTTGCGGCATTTTTTTATTTATTTTATTCTTATTGTGTTTTTGTATTTCATTATTGTTGCTTTGAAGATATTTGCTTGTAACTTACTTTTATACATTATTTATCTTTGAAACGTTTTTTAGGATGCACCTTTATATTATATACTTACTCCTACTATAAAATTGTAATCGATTGGTGTTTCTGTTATGTTTCTTTTTTAAATTAAATAAATAAAATAAAATAAATATTATGTGTTATAAAGCTGAAAAGTTTGTTTGAACGCGCTAATCTCAAGAACTATTGGTTCGAATCGAAAAATTATTTGTGTTTGATAGAGCATTTATCGACGAAGGCTTTAGGCTATAAAACATCACGCTGCGACCAATAGAAGCAAAGAAACGATAGGAAATGTGGAAAAAACGGGGAAAACTATTCACCTTTCACAGTTTCCGTTGCGTGCACTGCGAAAACGGTTCGAGATATCCGAAAAACATGTATGAAAGAATTCCTCTTTAAATTTTCTAAAACATGTCAGCGACACCATATATCTATCTTTTAAGATCTTGCAAGAACGACGGGACGTCGTGGTTAGCTTTAGTTTATAAAGATGAGGAGGTTTGAAAATTTTGTCGCCCAAAATAGCGGACGAAGTCGCTGACACAGCAGTCTAGGATAAGTTTGGCAGTTCCAAAAATACCGTTTTGAATGTAGCACAAACAGCGCGACGTCAGAGTCCGTACACACCTACCAATTTACAGACTGACAAAGAAGTCCTTAATTTGGATAGAGAATGACAACCCTTACAGTTTTTTCTAACTTGGCAAAAGACCACAACAAATATGGCAGATTTCAAACCATAGATAACTAGTGATGGCCTTTATAAGTCGCGTAGAGTCGAGTGTAAGTGTTGCCACAGATAACACGGGGATAAAGAAACATCGATTATATATGAACCAAACGATTTTCATATTCAATTATTTTTTTAATGACTTGATGGGCGGTAAAATACCCCAGCCATACAACAACTACACAAGATGCGCTGTCGGACTATTTTGGCTTTGGATATTCGGAAATCCACAGATATTTCCACCGCCCATTTAATATCCAGATTTCCAGACGAAGTTCGTGTTTCAGAAAAACTATTAATGGACAAATTTGAAACGTGTTGTCCCGGTGGGGATCAAACCCATGGCCCGTTGATTTGAAACGAGTTAAATAATTTGTGTTGAGTGGGACTTCTTCTATTGTCTTTAACTTTGCCTATCCCATCCTTATCTAAATTTCAAACCAAAGAAATTTTAATCTGTGCATTAACATCAATTCACTTTTATTAATTTACATTAGTTTAATATATAATACAGTGTCCCAAAGTGTTTTTAGTGTAAATAAATGTAAACATTTTGAGACAATCACGATTTCTGTAACTTGTGTGTTTGTTAAACAAAAATTCCATGTCTATAGTTTACGCGAGTAGTACACATTTAAATAAAACACTTTAACGGTTTGAAACGCGATATTTCCCCCTGACCACGACTGCTGCAAAGCATTCGAAACGTCGGGTCGAAGTTAAAAATCATTTTCAAATAAGTTTAACTAATATATCGCGTTTCAAACCGTTAAAGTTTTTTATTTTAAAAAAATCCATGTTAGAAAAAATACACTATAGCGATATAACACCAAACAAGATGCACTGTGGATTTTTTGGCTTTGGATATTCGGTAATCCATAAGTAGTTTCAACTCTAACACTTACATATTTAGGTGACTAGATGTAAGTTTTAAATAGACTTTTAATTTAGATTAAAATCTTGTTATTAATACATTTGCTTTTCAATAATAAAAGGAATTTGTTTTTCTATGGGCAAGAGACGAACACACTTTTGTGTCCGTTGCATCGATTTTTTATGGAAATTAGTTGATTATACTTCTGTGCCCCGCGAAGCTATAATTTATTATTTCGTTTGAACACTTAATTTTTCACAATGCCCCTCCCCACAATATATAAAAAAAAAATTATTTCACATTGACACTTGCATGGCATTACCCACTACTCAAGACCTATAAATTAAAAATTAGTCCCGATTTGAAAGAGGAATCTAGGATCATTTTAATCTAACCTAACATGAATTGAACCCACGACTCATTGGTCTTTAACATAATTGCATTTCAGATGGGTTGATAAACATTCGCTCTTGTAAACATGGGTATAGAATTTTTTGTTTCTAAAGAAAAGGGTGAGAAAAAAAATTTTAGGGGTTTAGGGGGGGGGAAAAGGGGGTTTTTTTTTTCCCCCCCCCCCCCTTCCCCCCCCCCATCCGTACTACGACTGCTGCAAAAAAAAATTCCACCTTCTAAAATGAAAATTTAAACTAATGTATCACTCGTTTTGAACCGTTCAAAGTGTTTAATTTAGAAGGAATCGAAATAACTCACCGAGTTCAATATTACAACATGGCCGTTTTACTATAACACAGTTTAAAACAATGAAGTATGCTCATGCGCATGTTGATAACGATAAGATAAAATTATTATCAAAAAGATCTTTCCTTGCGAGAGTCTTGTATCTTCTGTCTGAATTTGTTACATTATTGTAATAATCTCAATTGAGGTAAAAATTGTTATGGCTTTTTCAACGGGCCGTGTATTCGATTCTCACTGAGTCCAATGTTAGTAGGATATTCGGTTTTTACTATTACTAAAACAGGATGAACCTCGTCCGCGGAATTCCATCCACGTCAACCACCATCCTCAATTGAAACCCCCTTTAGGTCTAGCTCATCTTCAATTGAAGCACCCCCCCCCTATCCTCCTAAAAAACTACTTTTACGAGAGACAAAATATATATGTGTTGCCCGCCATTGCTTCTGAACAAGCTAAGCGAAGTTACAAGAGGCTAATAGAAAAATCCATGATTATTCAAAGGAATAAATATTGTCTGTAGTTTACACTAGTACACATTTAAATAAATATTTTTAACGGTTTAAAATGCGATACATATTAGTTAAAATATTTACATTTTATTTTAAATATGGCCCGACGTATAGGATGCTTTGCGGGTTTGCGGGAATAAGTATTATCTGTAGTTTACGCACTAGTACCTCCACATTTAAATAAATCATAATTAACGGTTTAAAACGCAATACTATAAGTATCTTTTCTTAGTAGCTTATTTATTTTTACGGCCTGACGTTTCGGATGGTTTGTAGTGAGTATATGTCGCGTTTTAAACCGTTAAAAGTGTTTTATTTAAAAGTAAAGAAATACCGTCTATCTGAGTGACATTTTATATTATTAATTTTGTATTAACATCTCGTTCTTTCTGAAAAGCGTGAAAAAATACACAAAAGGACAATTTTCTTTTACAATTTACATTTTATAGAAGCGATAACTTCTCGGTGTTCAACTAAGTAGGTAAGTACGTCATTCGAGTGGCAAATATCTATTTTGTGATAAGTGACTCACACACATAGAAAACATAACACTAATATACGGATCACAGAGGTATTCGGAGAAGGTGTTTAAATAAATACTAGCTGTGTCAGCGACTTTGTTCGCGTAGAATAGTTATCAACATGTGTTTTTGCAAACCCCCTGTTTAACTCTATAAATTTAGCTGTTACCCACAACGTCGGTCGCGTCCCGTCGTTCTTGCAAGTTAATCTTACGAGATAGACATATAGCGCCGCGGA